TAGCTATACATATCTACACTCAATATTCAATACCCAGAAAATTTTAAAAAATAATCCAACAGCTTTTCTAGATTAAAGTAACTGCACGATTTATTTACTAAACAGATTCAAATTTCCGATCACATAGAAGAAAGGAAAATTAAATCGCGATCTAACATTAAAAGCAAGAAGAAATGAATATCTAATAATATTAAATCGAGACAATTTTGATAAAAGTTAAAGAGGAAGAGCGAACCTGAGAGAGAGAGAGAGAGAGAGAGAGAGAGAGAGAGAGAGCAAGGAAAGAAATGGAGATTTTAGGAAAGCTCTCTCTAATGGAAATGCCTCTTTATATTCGATGAGATGTGGACGAAGTTCGTTTGAGAGAGTGAGTGCGAGGGGTGCCAGTTAGGGTTGTTCTATTTTGCATTTCCGCCTTGGGCTTGGGCTTTGGGCTTTGGGCTTTTGATGTTGCTAGGTATCTAAAAAAAATCTTAATTTCCTTTCTTTGGATATTTTCAATTCTTCTTAATTATTCTTTTCATCATCCTTGATAATTACTTTATTTTATTTTGTATTATGTTTGATTTCAGGTCATTGGAGGCAGAAAATTACGAGCAGAACATTAAGTTATGTCAATACAATTATGCAACCAGGATCAAGAAGTAAAATGCTTGTCCAAACCAGCAAATAAACTTTGCTCAATGTAACAAAGCCAGACCTAGATTTGCGGTACCATCTCAAAAGATTGAGAGTGCCAGACAAATTACTCTTCAACAATTGAAAGCTTGCTAACTCACAGTACATAATAAAGAAGGATGAAAAAGGATATAGCCAAGCCAACCATGAAAATGCATTGCTCGGATGAGAGCAGAGAAAGCCACATAAGCAGGTTCCAGAGGATATTAATAAACCACATCAAGATTAATTAATATCGCATAAAACCATGAAAACATTCCAAAAGAAATCTTTATTGAGGATTAATGCATTATAAAGAAAAACTGAATCCCATAAGCTCTCTTGAAGGGCCATTTACCATAATTCCTGACTGGTCGTCTACCAAGTTCTTCTCTTTCTTTTTGTGCCTCGTGCAATTGTAATGGCAATATTCACTTTGGCAATTCCGTTGTTGCCACTTCAACGTGGTTCTTTCGTATACCACAGACCAGAGATTTAAATTGCGGTAACGGTCACGTTTTCGATCACATCATATTTGTCACGGTTACGGATATAACGAAGACCTTCACGATCATTTCGACTATTGTGGTCGTGAATTTTTTAAAATTTTGTTCAACTTGTTATAAAAATATAATAATTTTAATTATTAATCATAAAACTTTTTATTTTATGATTTTTAAAGTAATTTATATCATATCATGTGTTTTTTTATTTCAAAAAAATATTTATAGTAAAATATTCATATTTAAAAAATTATTTATATGATAATTAAAAAATAAAAAGAGATAAATAAATATGTGAAAAATAAATAATCATAACGAATAATATATTTAATTATTTAATTACCGTACTCAACAAATTATTATCGAATTATATTATGCATAAATCAAATAATAAGTGATTATGTATTCATAAATTAAGTAAGAACATTATTATTTATGAGTCAAAAGAATTACTTTTTATGGACTTACAGTAAATCAAACTTGACAGCCTCCATTTTATGGTCGATTTTCAACAATAATAACCTCAAGTCTACTTCTCTTGTCTCTTGACTAAATTGTACATACCTACACAACTTTTTATCCCTTCACCTTGCATTCAATAATTTTTTTTCTCCAAACCTTCATCCTCATCCCCATCTCTCAATTCTCTTTATATTTGGTGTGTGCTATCTGCTTGCTTCTATAAACCTCAAGTTTCACTCTTATCTCTTATCTCTTATTTTAAGTCCTAGCAACTCATGCCTCCTTCTATCAATGTAACATAGCTCAATCTAATCACAAACACATAAAATCATAGCAAATTTGGAAATTAAAAAAAAAAGATAATTTGAGTGTTGAATTAATTGTTTACTTTAAATTGCATATACTTGATTTTGATTGTAAGTTGAACTTGAGAAAATTGATTTTTTTGAAAGTTTAAGTTTTGTGGGTTTTTTTTTCTTCTGAATTTGTAAATTGATATTTATTTTCTTTCTTGTTGTTTTTATTTTAAGTTTTTAAACAAAATCAAATGAATTTTTTTTTTAATTTTTGAATGAAAATAAGAATAGCGGCAATAATGGGCAATAGCTGACCGCTATTGCCGTTATTCACTGTTATACCGTAATTCACGATCGCCATTCATCCGCTATAGACAAGATTTAAATTCTCTCCCGTTTTTTCTCCAATAACGGTGGCGGATAGTGGCGCGACCGCTAAATAGCGACCGCGACACTGTTATCCGACCGCTATTTGAATCATTGCCACAGACCATCAATCAGAAGAAAACTTGCAGGGAAGCAAACATCTTTCCCCCAGACATCCAGTTTTATCACTAGAGTTCCTGAGAAATCTTATTGAACAACACAATATATTCAGAAACCAATGTCTTCAGTATAATTCCTTATATTTATAAATATATATATATATATATCTATTATTTCCAAGTACATAACTAAGCAGGGCAAAAGAAAATCATAAAAGATAAAATTAGAAAGAAATCATCTTTTCTTAAAATCATATTTTACATTCGTAGAACAAGTCTGTTTCGCACTTCCCCAGGGAACGATTTTGGGATAACCATCTTCATCTTTCTCTTGCTGTGTACACTCTTTGCACTAGTATGCATCAGATATTCCCCACTCCTACTCCGAAATGACCCATACTTGCATTCATCATTACATAAATTAACCCACCCAATCCATCATCCAAATAAATCTGGTAATTTTAAAATACAAAACTGTAATATGATACCAAATAATAAAAAAATAAATGACATAATTTAAACTTTTAGTAATAATTATATATAAATTAAATAAAATTAAAAAATATATTTATATTTTTATATCGATAAGAATTGTAATATGTAATTTTGATATAAAACATAATATAAATACACAAATTGTAATATTTTTATTAAATATATTTTTAGATCCAAAGGATAAAATAAATTTTTTCCCTTATTAAAAACTGTTAACCAACAACCAAAAATATTTTTAAGTTTTGAGTCAATTTGACATTACAATACCATCTCAACTCGATCACATATCAATTTATTCCATAAATCTCTTACCTTCCATTTATAAATAAAGTCATTCAAGTGTTGATTTTAATTTCTTCTATTTCTTTTTGTTTTACTCTCTTTTTAATTTTTTATTATCGATCTCTAATTAAAGCATACAAATACAAAAACATTCATTACTTTTATCTTTAATCGTTTTTTTTCTCTCTCATAATTTTAAGGTTTTACCCTCGATTCAAAATTTGATACAAATAATTTTACACCACACACACGAATACAAGAATCGTGACCTTTACTTTCAAAATACACCAAGACTTTTAGTACACCGGCCATATTGATACATTGAAAGGCACATGCAAAAGTCAGAGGCAATGAAAAAACATCAAAAGTCAATTCATTTATACAATTACAAAGATCCTGAGGATCGAAAATTTAAGCAATTTTGACAGTCACGTCTATCTATGGAGAAACATGAAAATCAAACCTAATGCAGAAAATGTCAAAACTTGAGCAAGGAATTAGTTGGATGGAGTTTACTTTTATAGATGAAAACCAAAGTCATTTCAACTGCAAACTGGACCTAAAAGCAAAGATTTAACAAAAAGTTTGTACTGTTTCATATCTTTTATACATAAAATTAGATTTCATTAGCTTTAAAATTTAATGTAATGTGTTTTTTTAACAATGTTAAGGTCTATTATTTCAATTACCTCCCCTCAAAACATGGTAATTAGTAATCTCTTTTATTCTGAATAAAAATTTTATTAGTTTCACTTTAGCAATTGCCACTCTATTTCATTTAAAATTTGACACATCAAATGTAGAATCCTTAATTAAATTATGTGTAGACGATATAATTGGACCCTTGGGTTTTTATTGATAGGTAGAAAAAGAAAGAAAAACAAAAGAAAAAAAATTTTACCCTAATGATTGAACCATAATATTGTTATGTAGCTCAATCATTAGATTAAAACATTTTTTATCAAACGGAATGTTAATTTGCCCCAACTCAAGCCTTACATAAGTCGTGAAAACTTTCACGACTAAGTTTATTGAATGATTAATCAACATTTTATTGTTTTCTATAATTTTAGTTTTAAGTTATTTGATTATTTTTAAGACTATCACAAATAATATTAACATTACAGTTATTTTGTATTTAATGTTATTATTATAAACAAAAAAAGTTTTATTTTGATTAATTATATTATATAACTCATCACTAATGTCACTTTATACGATATATATTAACATATAAGCCCATTAGTTAATTTTTTAGGTAGATAAATCCATTAGCTAATTTGATAATGTAGAATGCCACATTTAAGTGTTGTCTTCCAAGTTCAAATATGCCGCATTAATGTTAGTATTACATAAATTTTAGTGTAAAAAAATCAAAGGGATTCACTTTTTGTCATGTGAATATCCACATGAACATATATGAGATTTTGAGGTGACAAATTTTATCAAATTTTTTATGATTGATGGAATGGATGAATTTGAAATATTTTTAAAAGATGATAGATAAAAAATTAAGTTTTAATATTCATGAATAAATATAAAATATTGCACAAAAGCTATAGATATATGATACATTTTATTCAGGATTAAGGCTCAATGGAGAAAAAGTCTTCCTTTAACATCAATTCTCCCAAAAGACTAATTCAATAGGCCTTATGCTATTCAAGTAGAGGCAACAAGCGTGGTGAATTTTGCTACAAAAGTTTCATATATAAAGGAGAATTCTAGTTGTAACAAAAGGAAAAAGGAGAATTCTAGTAATATATTGACAATACAATTCTATTGATGTAAGCTTCAACAACATATAATTACACATGCATTTACAGAAGAAAGGGATCAAAAGCAAACTCTACAGCTGATCTGAGTTCATCCCAATTTGCGTTTGTGAAGAAGTCATTTTCTGGATTTGAAAAGCTTGAAGATGGTGCAATAAATGGAGGTTGAGCTGGTTGAGCTATGGTGCTCAATTGATCAGCTGCTACATGCCAATTTTGGAAGCTTCCATTGATTTGATCAACAATTTGCTTCTGATCGTCATCATAATGCTGAAGAATTGGAGCACCAAAGCTTATGTAATTTTCCTCATCACTGTTGGATTCCACACTGCATGTTTGAGAACTTGTTGTGTTAGTAATTGAATTGTGTTTAGCAGCAATTTCTGTCCAAACCGGTGTGTATTTTCTGTGTGATACGTTCCTCTTGAAAATTCGACATATAGTCCATACTTCCTGTAATTAATCCCCAGAATTAAAGATTTATTAGGATTAACTAAACACTTCAACGGGAAAAAAAATAAAATAAAAAAAAAAAGATTAATGCTCACAGCTTCTTGGGTAGTATATTTGGGATTGGTGTTATTGTGATTGCTAGGAAGGCGAAACTCATGCATCATCCAATCAGTTTTGGTTCCTTTTCCTGCACTTCCACGGTAGTATACTAATGTTTTCTTTAGCCCTATGCACTCATGGCCATGGCCTTCTCCTCCATGTGAATAGACAGGTTTGTCAATGCCGGTTGCTTTCCAAAATCCTGATCCTGTCACCCTATTTGGTCTAATGCTGTTTCGGTACTTTCTTCCTCGTTTGCAGAAGTAATATGAGTCACTTTCTCCTTCACTGCTAGGTCCTGCATGATTATTGATTATGAAATACATTAGATGAAATAAAAAAACCCCGCCGGATGCAAATATTTGTACAGAAATATATATTCCATTGATGCTAGATGAAATACACAGATTAAAAAAGAAAACTGACCGAAACAATTATATATAGGGTTTCATGTGAAATTACTACTTACTGTAGAACACAAAGTGCAAAATTTATGAAAATAAAGAATTATCAAGCTATCTATTTCATTTTTCAAAAGAGGCTTGATGATTGGTTTTGGAGGCTTCACTCTTAAATAAAACACAATAACTTTGGATGGATAGAACGTTATATCATAAAATTTTAGAAATAATTAAATCAAAAAAAGTAAAACAAAAGAGACTAAACTTGATGATTGTAGGCTGCAGCGCTAGCAACTTGATTTAACAAGTAGAGAAAATATTTATGGATATGCAGAATAATTACAGAAAGTAGTAGCAGCTATATATAGAGATCATACTCGGAAGATCCCAAGGATCATATTTGTAGATATCCAACTGTTTGATGAGTTGGATTTTGATGGGTTTCTTATCAACCTTTCGTCGAAGATAAAACCTAAGAAGCTCTTCATCTGTTGGATGGAATCGAAACCCTGGAAGTGGAACATCTTCGGCTTCCTCCACCTTACCAGTAATACCATCTTGGACGTTCATCTTAATTTCTTGGTGCAGTAAATGAATCCTTTGTACTTTCAACTGTGTAAAACCTATTTCTTAAATACTACTTCGCATTTTGAAATAGTCAAAAGTCAATGCTCTTGACTCTTTGATAAACCACCATCCAATTAGCTAAGAAAGAGTCTTCCATCGATGATCAATTGTATATATAATACGTAGTAGTTTAATAGAGTTTAATAGAGTTTGTTAACAAGAGGCCTCAACTTTTCTATTGGAAATATTTTATTGACATTTTTTTTTTTTTGTAAAAAAGTTAATATCGATATGTATATGTATATCCATTAATTCACTGCAAAAAATATAATATTTAGCAATAAAATTTTATGTTATGTTGCAAATAGTAAGGCTTTAAAAAGTATTTGCAACAAATTTTATGCACATTATAACATGAAAAGGGGAAAAATGTAAATCATAATTCTTTCAAATTATCAAGATAGTTCTGTAAATTTCATTCCAACAACTTGAAAAGGGAAAACCTGAACCCATTTTTTAGCATAAAATTAATGACATATATATATATATATTTAATCAAATGCCCGAATTCAATGTAAATCACAATTGTTTTACTAATAAACTTATAGGTTCAAATCTTTGTTTTTTTCATATAAGTAGAACCCTAGACAGAAAATTTAAAATGTACATGAAGAAATATTAGATTGATCAGTTCATGCTGTCATATTTAGACTATAGACTATGACTATGTAATGTGTTAATTAAGAATTATGGAAATTAAAAGATCAATGATCCTCCTATGTCTTGTTTTTTACTATTAAATTTTCTTTTCTTGTCTTGTCATCTTCAGTAGTACTATTCTTGTTTTGATAAATATGGCGTTTGAAAGAATTTCATTCCTTCTTGGCTAAATATTTATATATATTATATTCCAAAAATGGTTTGCGAAATCAAAGTAAAAGAAATTCTAGAAGTTGAGTGCACGATATTTGACCACAAAATCAGTTAACACTATTTTCTTGCGCATACAAAAGTTTTAAACCTCTTCCCATTGCAATCCAAGAAAATGTCATAATAGCTGGAATTGCTTTGACTTGCCATTCACTGTTATTTCCTCCTACAATTATTGTCTAACTTTGAAGTACATTTTTCTTAACAAAAAACTTTTAAAGTATATTAATTATTTTGCATAAGAGATTAAGTGGTCAGTGGCAACATTAAAAAAAAAAAAAATTTGGACGATAATTTCACCTAAAAATAGTTTTATCTGAAAATTAAACATTATTATACAACGTTAATCCACTATAATTAAAGATACAAGACGTTCCCTCAACATCTTTTTAAACACAAAATCGTAAGTCAAGAAGGATCAACTTGTCAAGTGAAGATCAATTTTGCTTATGAATGAAACAAATTTTAACAGATAAGAATGGCTGATTCAATTTGAAGCTAATCTTCTTTGTTGTCATCTTCTTACTAATTTAGATTATTTTATCATCTTAATTACCACACTAATGATCTTTATAAAATTAAGAAGAGACTTTTCTTCATGTATTTTTAACAATTAACATATCATTTTCGACGGAATTTATCCATCTAATTCATCTTACAAAATTATAGATGGAGGAATAATAATTAATTGATTAATTAATTAAACATTTAGCTAATTATTTTATTCCATTGGACAATCTGAAGGGAAAGATATATAATTCTAAGAAAATTCTACCAATTTTACTCATAAATTATCAAAATTACAATTACACCGTCTTAAAAGATTTGAAATTTTTGCAAATTTCATAGATATGTTGTTTGACTTGATGCCATAAATCGCTTTCCCTTGTATATGAATTTTCCATTAATGACATGAATAATAAATAATTCAGCATACGCAGACCTTTTTTCAGTTCTCTTACGGCACGTATATATGTAAAAAATTACAATGGTGTTATTATTATTATTCAAAAGAATTGTAGAATTATAAGTCATCTAACCACGTGGTTTAGAATTTGAAAAAGCCCGCTTGCTTTCTGTAGCTGTTTGAACAAAATTCAAAGTCCTCAGTCAAGATATATAGAATCCATTTTTCTATAATTTCTGAAATGGAATCCATAGTTTTATAATTTCGAACCTTCTCTATTTCTTTTATTTACAGAGGCCTTAACATCATTTTTTTTTTAAAAAAAAAAGAAAGATGATAAAAATTCTAAAATATAATGATTTGAATAGTCCAAATAATATATATAATTACACTTTTTGTTCTTAAAATTTGTGTTTTTTACGTTTATATTTCATTACTTTTTCTCTCTTCTTTGGATTTCGGATCGTTTAATGTCATCCAAAAAAATATAGCATTTATGTATTTGACTCCATGAAGATAAAAACGAAATGATATAGCCTTCAATTTCATGAATCAGTGACAACAAAAGGATAAAGAAGACATGAAGGCTTGGGGTTCGAACTAAGCCAAATTCTCTCCCATCCAAATCCTGCAGATCAAAAGAAATAGCATAACCTAGCATTTGGACTACCCATTTTCTAACTTCAGCTTTGGTGTCCTCCGTTTTCTTTCCCTTTTAGAGTCCTCCTGTAAGCCTTGACCTGTGTGGTACGCCTTAGAAAATCAATAATTGCTATTTTCTTTTATTGTAATTGTCTGGGATTGTAGTTTATGTAATCAAATCGAATTTTTTTACAACTTTGATCATCCATATGAATATCTACTTTAAACTTGTTATTAAAAAAATTAAAGATATCAATTGTACCTACGAAGTGCATATTCATGCATGGTTATTCCTTTGCTTTATAGATGATAAAGTCAGTAATTAAATTTCTGGTAAACTGTAACCAGCGTTCTTGGTTTTCAAAATCGAACCTACATAATTCAAGTTTGCAGAAAGACTTTCTCTACTTTCTTTTCCATATGTCAAAATGGACCGTTGGGAATGCGAAAACAACGCCAAATGGACCTTTAAAAGGCCCATAAAGCTATTGTCGAGCATAAACATGTACATTTTTCATGTCCCATATATATGACTTAATTTTCTTCTTTGCTTCCTTTTTCAATGTGGAGCCCCACACCTCAGATCACTATATATTGAATAATGCTCAAAAACAGATCTTTTTGACATTTGATTACCCAAAATTAATTACTCACCTTATAACCATTTTGTACATATATGTGGTTTTTGGCACAGGGAAGTGAAAAAAAAAATTTTGAAACTAGAAAGAAAGACTCTTTCTAAGCTGATTAGGCTCCTCTGCCGAAGAGTCCATAATTTGACTTGACCTGAACAACCAGCATTTGGGACGACTCCAAATTCACATTGTTGTTTAAGAAGGTTGGATGATATTCAAAGCTAGGCTTCCCTGTATGATTGATGATTCATGCAAGAAACATAGAAAATATTGAAGGATTAAAATCTTGGTTTCTTGTACTCCACTTAGACATGCAAATTGGAATGAGCTCAAATCAGCTGTAAAGTTTGCTCGTCTTCATCCCTTTCTTATGTAAATGCTTTAAGTTATATATGATGCACAACGTGGAAGTAGTGGAAATGGTAAAAAGGTAACCACTTTAATCAACCAAATAAAGACCATGAGCTGAAGACTACTTAATTTGTACACCATGTTTTGTTGACCATTTTGAGTCAAAAGTAATGTATGACCAGGTTGAGTTCATGGGACAAATTGTAAGAATCTTGAAATCAAATTGATGACCGAATATTACCTACTCTCTTGATCTCGAATATTTCCTACTCATGTCCAAAATCAACAATTTACTGATTTATTACTTATGTGGAGGGAGCTACGATGTAACAGAAAGAACATGCACACTGTTTTTTTGCATATCCTTAATTCGTAGTTTGTATATTTGGATTAATTAATTTCTGGGGTTCCAATTTAGTCCCCTTTTGTTTGATTCTTTGCTTCAAGACAAGTCTTTCTTGGATTCTTCAAGAATCGAGATGAGTGCATTTCAAGCTATGTATATTGGCTAGGCCTAATCAATCACCTTTTTTCTGACAAATTAACTGTCATAGAGCAGTTCATTTCCACAGATTTCTTTCTTCTGATTATCATTAAAGCTGGACTGTCTAGTCAGTGCCAGATCTAAGATCACTGCCCAAGTTTGAATCATTCTCTATGCTGTTGGAATTCAAGTCCATTGTTACATGCATCTTCTTTGTGGATCTTGCCCTCTGGCCCTTACATTGGTAAAAAGTGCCTCTCCGACTTGTGAGCCTTTGTAAGCGAAAGAAATGGTGCTGCATTCAAATTTACAGTGGCCTAAATTTGAGTTGTCAATCTTACTTCGGCAATAAATTTCATGTTGATGGGTTCAGAGAGGAGCAATTGTAGATGAGAGATCCTCACTCACACTGGACCAAACCCAAAATTTCGGATTTTTGATACAAGTACTACATTTATATAAACTAGTTTATTTTCTCGTGCTATATGTATGTAATTGTTAACCAAATTATAATTTTAATATTTTTATAATAATAAAATTGAAATAATTATCATCATATTAAATTAAATTGAAAATATAAATTTAAGTTTGAAAAAATAAATATAACAAAAATTTTAAATTAAAATTCCAATAAAGAATAAATATTTAATTTTTTTCTATTTTGACTTTTTTTTTAAGTTTTCTTTTAAGTCTTTTGATTTTAGTTCATCATCTTCATTCATTATATATATATATATATATATTATTTATTTATTTTTAAAAAAATTTTTAAAGAATTATCTTCTATCACAATCAATTCGGATTTTGCATTTCCCTTTCTTCTCTATTTTATGCTTTTTTTCAAGCTTTTTCTTTTAACTTTTTTTGTAATGGATTTTTGTTTTCAATTTTATAAATTTTTGAGCCAATCGATCATTCATTGAACTCGTTTAAACTCTTGCTTTTCATCTATTTATTATTGAAAATTTAAATTCCTTATTTTAATTTGAAACCATATTGTTATAAAGTTTTTGTTGCTTGAAATAAAGTAAATATATAATGTTTTCTTTTTCAT